GATCTTTTAACGGTTGATCTAGGAAAGATCTTTCTGGAATCTGAGCGGATGTTACACGCATTTGAAAGTTATTGTACCCGTCAAGGAAGTGCAAGCTTGTTATTGCAGAATCTGGAGAAGGAGAAAGAACTACTGCGAATTTTTTTAAAGGTTTCACAGATGGAAAATACTGTTTTACGTAGGATGAATTTGAATTCTTTCCTAATGGTAAGGGGCAAGTAAAATTATTTATGTTACAAAACTACTTTTAATTAAATTATTCACAATATAAAAACTTGAATTTTAACTTTTCTGTTGAAAACTCAGGAAATTTCTTATATAAAATTAATAAAAAAATAATTTTTTCGCAGGTTCCTGTTCAGAGAGTAACGAAATATCCTCTTCTATTGGCCCGATTATTGAAAGCTACGTCTTCTGTACGATCAGACATTCAAGAAGCAAAGGAAAGACTAAAACAAGCACAGGCTACCGTAGAACTACATTTGGAGCATATGAATGCTGTAAATACATCATTAATCTGTACTATAAACACAATTCAAATAGATAAAATTACATAGATACAAATAAGTATAATTTGAAATAAAATTGATATCTGTAATTTAAGCTTTGCTCTGAATTTGTATAGAGTTTCGAAGTTAATTTAATTAATTTAATTTTGTTTTAACAATGTTTTAATATTTGTTATTTATTTGAAGATAAGAAAAAGTTTTAATTTACATTGAAATAGAGAAATAAGAATTTATAGCCTTGTTTTGGATCATATAGATCAATTTTCCGTACAAGAATTCCGTGAATTTGTACGTGAATATATGAAATAATATTAATAATGAAATGTAAACAGGAAGCAAAGGATGTAACCTCGACGAAACTCTGGAGAAGAATTTCAATTATTCAAAATGGTAGACGCCCCATCGGTGAACAGGATATGGTGAATATAAAACTGAGGAAGGTAATGTATTTGTTTTAAAATTTTATGTATATAATTTCAGTCATGTAAGAGT